GCATTCTTCTGGACAATCCAGCGGCCGCTCGGGCGCTCGAAAGAGGAAGATCTAGTTCCTCGTGGGCAGTGGTTGACAATTTTTCACTGCTGAGACAAAGCAAGCGTGTGAAAATACGCTGGATACCTGGTCATGTTGGGATCAAAGGCAATGAAGAGGCCGATGAGCTGGCAAAGTCGGCCTTGAGATCTCTCAACAACTGGTCACTAACCACAGCTTTACTCAGCGGAGAATCTCAAAATCTAACCTTTGCGGCACTAGGGAGACTAATTAAAATTTGGGGTCAAAAACTCGTGGAAGAGTGGTGGCAGAAGTATCGACCGAAACGATACAAAGATCTAGACCTCTACATGCGCTGCAAATGGCCACCGGAACTGGTACTACCGAGATGGGCGTACCACCGTCTAGTTGCGGCAAGGACTGGCCACGGGAACTACGCCGATGTAACGGCTGGTAAGCCGATTGGTCCCTGTAGCCTATGTTGGTTAACTTAGGCCTGATCCGAGTGGCGTTATTAATAACTACCAATGCGCTAATGTGCAACGCCACCCAATATATTACTTTTGCGTCGGCATTTGCATGGTATTCACATGGCATCGGACTCGGCAGTGCGGCACGGCAGTACGGCACTGCACCACATGTTGATAGGCTTACACTGACTGGGAATATACGAGACCGAGTACAATTTCTCCGGACCACAACGCGATAGTGTTGAAAATTCAGACTCTATGTGTCTGAAGTTTCCCCATGATTGGAATAACTAAGATTCTCACACATGACTCACAGCCTGACTCATGACTTAGATGATTGATTTCTCCTTTACTGAGCATTTTTGATGCTTGAGACTCGACTAGTGCATGGTATGGTCTAATACACGTGTAGGCTTTCATCCACCGACCCTGACCCCATACCCATGTTGTATACTGTCGTGCGATTCATTGTTATTGTTAGAGTATGGAACGAGTGATGGATGGTATCTAATTTGGATTTGGTCTATCAAGTATACATGTATATTAGCTGTCTAGGAATCACCAAGACAGATAATCTAGTCAATTCAATTCATTCAACCAATCTTTTATTTTTCCACAGTATATCACATATTCCCTCGATTCATATCATTATTATTCTATTCATAAAATCGCGCCCATATTCTTTGAGCCGCCTTACTCATCGAACCCATACCGATTTTCCAACAGATAGTGCTGTATTACAGGGATAGTCAGAGCACTAGGGGAGTCTCATAGCATAGGAAAAGGAGAGGGATTAGCTTCGGTGGCGAGGAGGCTTTTACGTATATAAATGAATAGATAGATATGGTGGAGGTTATCCCTTAGAATTATTATTTACTACCATCGACCACATAGTTGTTCCAGCACCTGTCCCTCGAAACCGTGACAACCGACTACCATCGACGTTTCAACCACAAACATGAAGATCTGAAATGCGTTTGCGGCCGAGAGAAAAGTGTTATGATGTGAAATTACTCAGCTAATTAGACAAGTTGCATTAGCTGATATAGAGATCTATACAAGATGCGGTTGGTGTAGTGATATTACGGACAGTTGCATGTGCATGGTTAGAACAAGAATGTAAACTATTCTCTAGCATATGATAGAATATTTTACATCACAAGATGGAATATTCTACTAGCGATTAGACAGATGAGCTTTAGGTATAAATAGGAGTATTCTCCTTCATATAGATAGCAATCATCAGGAAACGAATCTAATAGAGCGAACACATATCATCGCCCACTTCATAATAGTGTCAAGCACATATTGATAAAGCCACTGTTTGTATGCAATTCCCCTCCTCATAATCACAATACTTTGCCATCTTGTATATAGTCGCTGCGCGAGATATGGCCTCACAGTCCTCCCTTTCTCGAGTGAGGTAGGTGTCCAGACTACCTAGACTTTAATTCGGGGAGATGACGAACAGGAGGCGGACCAAAATACCTTCCATCGTTGCCTATTTTTAAAATGTCGATAGCACTATCCTAAATCGTTACCTCGGCGCCCACAGACCCCCTTAAGTCGAAAATACTCGAAAAATGAGCGTCCTGGCATGCACATTTGTGACCTCTTCACTCGTTCGTCCCACGTCCCAGCTGCCTGTCCTCCCCAAAGATGTGAAGCCCCATTAGCGTAACTGTCCCCCATAGAACAAGACCCGAGCTTTGAAGAATATGACTTAATTTCCTTCCCGCGGGTATACATAGCATCGTAAATGAGTAGTGGAAGATGGCCGGCTTTTGGTGGGGCAAATGCTCGATTGCAATTGGAGTGACGCCATTATCGGTATTTGAGGCGAGGTATTGTAATAAGATTGAGGTGGAGAACTCGCATGAGAATGATAGATCCGACATAGACGAGAAGTCGTCGATTTTAGATGTGCTTATGAGTGCTTTCGACTTCCATTTGGATGCAATTCTTCTTGGCAATCCCAGATATGCACGGCATACTGAGCGATTACACCGGCACCACGGAAAAGTGAAGAATTCGTCTTTGCAGGAATGGCAATGGATATGCGTGAGAAAGTTTATTGTGCAACTTGAGTTCATGACTATCTAGCACACTAAGCACCTCTCAGGCCCAGGCCATACCTTGTATAGTGTATCTATCTTCTTTTGTTACTTGGAATATCATTAATTTATTTGCCGTGATGAACAGGCATTCATCTCGGTACGTACCCGTGGAATTCACCCACCTTTTCCACGGTATCGTCTACCGAAAAAAAAGTAAAAAATGCAAATGGTAGCAATGGAAACTGCGGGCCGGCAAAGACGAATTCTTCACCTTCCAGTGGTGCCGGTGTAATGGCTCAGTATGCTCTGCATATCTGGGATAGCCAAGAAGAATCGCATCCGAATCGAAGTCGAAAGCAACCTCAAACACATCTCCATTTGATAACTTCTCGGCAATGCCTCTCTTATCATTCTCATCGGAGTCCTCAACGACCAATAAAGAAGTTGCTCCAATTGCATACAGAAGCTTGCCCCATTAATTTCCAGCCATCTCTCACTATATATTTACGATGTGATTTATACCCGCAAGGAGGAAATCAAGTCGAAATGTACAAAGCTTGGATCTTGGCTTGTGAGGGACTGTTGCTCTAATGTTAGAAACAACTTGAGGAAGAACAGGCGGCTGAGATGTGGAACGAGAGGGGGATTAGGTTTCTGAAGAGCATGCTGGGACCGATAATTACGAGTGGTTTCATCTTTGGAATTTTTGTGGGCGCCAAGACCGAGATTTCGGCTAATTAGCCAGGAGTACTTCCTTTTTCGATGAGTCAACGGCACTCCCCAGCGCTCTGGACGGTATAAAAGAAGTTAGGCTAAACTACTATATAGCAATCACGCTCTGTCAAGACTTTTCTGAAATTTCAGCACGACCTTCGGGATGGAGTTGGAAGGAGGCTAGAAAGGCAGAGGGTGAATTCTCCGAGGTACCCACAAGTCTGCAGCGCCCAGCTGGCCGGCCTCTTCGAACGCTTCAGAAGGAGCAATATGTCTTCGGATTTATTCCTAATGTCGGTACTAGGAGAGCTCCGCACCCAGTGGTTTTTGCGAATTTTCCCGGCTGCTATACACCCGCAAATGGCCATCGTTTCTTTGGCTAGAGAAGGGAGATGATGAAGGGTAAAGGGCTCCTCTTAGTGTATGATCGAATGAGGACTTGTGAGGGGTGGTACTGTTTGATGGGAGCTGTATGGGAGGCATAGGAGGGGATATACTACTGGTATAGGTATCCTTGGCCTGTAGACAGAGAACACCTGCATGTCCTACATAGTCATAAACTCAGACAGGACAATAAAATGAATTTATAATAATAATAATAATAATAATAATGGAAACTGCTTGCGCGGGAAAAAGCCTCAAAAAACCTGCAGCCCAAGCCAGGCGAGGCCTAGGGACGGGGACCACATGAGGTGCGCATATTCATCTATATCTCCCTTCTTTGTAACAGTCGAGGTCGACTTGATCCAATCCGCTATCTCCGTATTAGATGCTGCTTATGCTCCGGAAACTCTTCGGATGACTTCCCCCTCCATGATCAAGTGTTTGTCAAGGGTTGGTGATGAGTAGGGCTCCGACCCTACCTTCGGATCTGATCGCGGTTAGTTTCATGATAATGGCGATGGGGGAATATGTTGAATAGTCCCCTAACATCTTAACCTAAGCGGTAGACAGTTGATGAGATTCCGCTCACTAACGGTCACGAAAACCTCGGTCTATACCGATTACAGTATTTTTAACCCTGTTAATAACTCAGTTGGTAAGTTTAACTGTGGCTTCGTCTCCTATCGAACTTGAATAGTTTTGCTTTACAAAGTGGGGGCCACAAAATTATTTATCGAGCTTAACCATGCTAGATCAAAGTTCAGGAAAGTAAGTTTGTATCTAATTCCGCCTCATCCTGGAATTATCCTTTACATTGTGTGATGCCCTGTGAGAAGTCAAATAATTCTGATAATGTAACTTTCAATCAGAAAATTAAGACTTCACATCGTGCTGTTCTAGACCAGCTGTCACTATCATAAAAATGGAACTACAGATACAAAATTCTCTGATCAAGAGTGTGGCGTCCGCAATTGTTTGTGGGGCTCTTACGTCAAACCACATTAGTAGATCATATGTAATAGCAGTACTACTATTTAAGTCAGATAATGGCCCTGCGACGGAAAATAGGTTATCTGCTCTTCTTATCTTTTGACAACCTGTATTCCACTCGAAAGCAAACTTTTTTGCCGCATTAGTCAGCTTTCACATCTCTCGTTATATCTAACATCTACCAAGTGAGCAAACCCCCCAACGTTTTACAGGTGACATGATGTTTAAAGTCGCTGCATGAGCTACATTGTGTAGGAAATTGGCATCTCTGGATATTCCATCAGTCAAAATAACTGCGTCTTTTATAATAACACTGATCATAGGACCATATTTATCTATTATTATAGAACAACCAAAACTCACCCTCCAACCAAGTTTTACAACCATGACAACTTCTGGTGTAGAGAATTTTGCAATGGGCAAGTCAGCTTGTAAAAATAATGAGCATGACAAGTATACCGGCTGTTCACCATCGCAACGATATCTTTCGAGTAGAGGCGAGTCGTACGGGGTATGCTTGTTAGACTAATGAAAAGAAATGAGCGAAAGAGCTAATTTCTTAAAGTTGAGCTTTCAGGATGTTGTACTAAAGGGCCTAGCAGCGGACGGTGGCTTATTCATTCCCGAAGAAATTCCCTCCTTACCTCACAATTGGGAATCTTTATGGAAAAATATGTGTTTTGCCGATCTTGCATATGAGGTTTTATCTCTTTACATCTCTCCCTCTGAAATACCGGCTTCAGACTTAAAGGAGATTATAAATAAAAGCTACTCGATGTTTCGAACTCCAGAGATAACTCCCCTTTTGGCACTGGATCCGAAAAATAACCTTCACATACTCGAACTTTTTCATGGACCTACATTTGCATTTAAGGACGTTGCCCTTCAATTCCTAGGTAATCTCTTCGAATACTTTTTAATCCAAAAGAACAAGGGGAAGAAAGGTAAAGAGAGGTATCACCTCACGGTTGTCGGCGCGACAAGTGGAGACACTGGATCTGCTGCCATATACGGTCTGCGAGGAAAGAAAGATGTCTCCCTGTTCATTTTACATCCGAAAGGACGAGTAAGTCCAATACAAGAGGCACAGATGACTACGGTTCTTGATCCGAACGTGCATAATCTTGCGTTACAGGGTACTTTCGATGACTGCCAGGTATGTTTTCATGATTAGGTATATTCTAAAAGCCAACAATCTATGTAGGATATTGTGAAGGCCCTATTTCAAGATACTACGACCAACGAAAACCTGCACCTCGGTGCAGTTAACTCAATAAATTGGGCACGGATCCTAGCACAAATAACTTACTACTTCCACGCACATTTTAGTCTTATCAAATCCAAAAATTATACACCAGGTCAGAAGATTCGTTATGTTGTACCGACAGGAAATTTTGGAGATATTCTTGCAGGATACTTTGCAAAGAGAATGGGCCTACCTGTCGATAAATTAATCGTTGCGACTAATGAAAATGATATACTTTATCGCTTTTGGAAGAATGGACGATACGAAAAGAAGGCTGGAGATTATGTAGAGAAGTCACAAAATGGGTTAGACAATGAAACTTCGAAATTACGAAAGTGTGATGTCAAAGAGACCCACAGTCCCGCCATGGATATACTTGTTTCAAGTAATTTTGAAAGGCTGTTGTGGTTTCTGGCTTATGAGTATGCTGCTGGTGCAAAGATGGACGATGAGTGGAACAAAAAGCAGGCGGGCCAAGAGGTCGCATGTTGGCTCGGCTCACTCAAAACCAATGGCGGGTTTGACATCGGTGCTGAAATACTCGAACTTGCTCGGAGGGATTTTGAATGCGAGCGAGTCAATGACTCACAAACATTGGTTACAATAAAAGAGTTCTATTCACAAGCCACTGAAGGGACCGATACTTCTAAAATCAAGGAAAGCTATGTACTAGACCCTCATTCTGCCATAGGGGTGGCAGCTTCCCAGTTTTCAATCCAGCGAAACCCAATTCCAGATACTCACCACATTGCACTCGCAACCGCACATCCCGCTAAATTCGCCGATGCTGTTATTCTGGCTCTCAAAGATGAAAAATCTTTCTCCTTTGATTCAATTTTACCAGAGGAATTTTTCGGATTAATGGAAAAAGAGAAACGGCTTAGAACTGTTCCTAAAGACGCAAGTTTGGAAGATGTAAGAGCAATAATACAAGAAGAGGTTCAAATGGAGTTGATTGGTGTTCAATGATCAACTACATATCCTAAGCTCCTTCATCTCAGACCGGTAGGTCCCAAGCTGTTGAAAATATGGAACTTAGAGAGAAGTCGGGGGTTAATTTGGCAGTTGTCGATGAAAGATATGCATGGTCGGGTTTTTTTAACTTCTACGTTGAGATATACTTTATCGATCTTACTAGGCTCGATAATGATTAGTCCCGACCGATCGGTGTTTGGCGAACGGAGAATGCGTATACCCTGTGCTAGCGTTATTTACTGTTGTTAACTGGTACTCCCGCACAGGCTACTTATCGGGATTAAAAGGAGTTTGGTATCTGTGTATTGAAGATTAATGGAAATGACATCTCGTTGTCCGTCATGATAGCGCAAGCTTACTTCTACCGACAAATCACACGAACTAATTTGTGGATTACATTTCTCTACGAGTTAGCTTACAAAATTTGCCACCGTAAGCTATTTTAATTGGCATTAGAATACAAGCTCTTCGACTTCCATGTGACACAAGATACACTTCCTCACGGCGAGACTGTTCTCTTTTTCAACGACCTGGCCCCATTCATGCTCATGCTTTCCCTGACCCCCGATTTGGTCTCCAAATTGACCGTCCACGGATTTATTTTTGTTGTTTCTCCGGAATGCTTCTGTTCGAGTCTTTTTTTTCAATTCCCTGAGTTTACTCTTGAATTTTTCTTCTTTGCGCTTTTTTTTATCGGCTTCTCTTTTCTCGAACTCAGCGTCTAGTGCCTCAGACGATCCCCATTTTGTGTTAAACGCGTATTCTTCGACCTGATAGCGTAAGAATAGCATCATGTCATGCCAGTGGGTTTTATGTGGATTGGGCTTGCTAAGATGAGGAAGTAGCTCAGCATCTTTCAATTCGGCTATGCAAAGTAAGTTCAAACATTTACACCAATTAGCGAACCTACGATCTGTCAACAAGTAATCATCTTTAGCCTCAGTCTTGGTGAGTAAACTATATTTTTCTGGGTAATTTTCCTTGCATCCAGCGCAGATTGCACATCCAAAAGTAGCTTCCCACTGCCAGTCAATCTCGAGACTACCACATTCACGGCACTTGCGGCCATTTTCGCGGGCATCGAGCCCAATTCCTGGTTCGAAGGGACCCTCTTTTCGGTTGCGTAATCCTCTGATAACCTGATGTCGTTCCCACTCCTGCTCAGTCATGTGCGCTGGTTTAGTAGCATCGCAACGAGCGTGATTCATAGCTTTATTCCAGGGATCGTCAGCAGCACTCAGGAATCCCCCTTTAGTATCTGTCATCTTGCTGAAGTCATGATCAATATACTTTCGAAACTTTCGTGCTACCTGAATACCTTCGACAGGCGGCATCTGACGAGCATCGCGACTCGTTTCGGGCAAATGCGTCGTTGAAATAGAAGCATGTGCTCTTTTGATACCCGTCGCCTTGCCTGGACCACTAGATGAGGCACTTGCATCGATGGACAGACTTTCAGCGTGAAGTGCTTTAGCCCGCAATCGATTCTCTTCCTGCTGCAGATTAGCGTGACCACTCATTTCATTATTAGTGCGGCTCACAATGCGTCTTGTGGCCTCCGGAGATGGTTGAGAGGGACTGTGATTCGTCATGTGGGATACAAGTTACCAAAGTCAAATTGTCTTGAGAAATTGGTATGAAAGGACTCCGCATGAAGTTGATCATGTTCTAACTGCCGTTGGAGCCTTTTCACAAACGTTTTTCTTTGATCAAAATTTTTTGTTAATATTAGATGTCTTTTACGGAGAGGTAAAGTCCTGTACTGCATTCAGTGAACCTTGCATAATTTATGATATGTTCTCTGCTTTAAATAGAGTTACTTCGCGGCTGTTGACATGAATATATTTACCCCAACTACGGCGACCCAAAATCAATAGATATAAAGAGCGATGGGAATTATCTTCTTCATCGTTGATCACATTAAAATGCTGTAAATAATTACTATCTTTCACCACAAGCAGAAAATGAACTGGGTCATTCAGCATCCAAGCATCAATCCCTCCGAATAACCCTTGTTCGATCTACGATCGTTGCAATTGATGTTAGCGAGATATATCTACTTAGTACTTGATAGAGATCTACGAATTTTAAACGGTAGACTTGATACTACACAGATCTGAGATAAAGCAATTGTGATGTTAGATTTATATTTTCTCCATGACGCCCTAATGAAACCAATTGCTAACTTAATAGACAGGTAGATCTTATTCAAGGATATCAATATATGACTTTTTGATAAAATTAAATGCATTTTCCGCCCGCACGTTCCATCGGATAGTATTATTCCTCTTTGGCACCGCCTCGACCAGATTTTTCCGCGGCTTCAATGCTTTTCTTGTCTTGAACCTGGGCAGCTCCTCCTTGAAGGCTACTTAAGAGCCCTGGAGGCGCTTTGAAAGGGCGCTTCAATTCTCCAACCGCTGGTTTTCCAAATAAGTGAATTGCAACCTCTGAGCCTTCTAATGCACCCTTCAAGGGAATAATTGATTGAATTATCAGAGGATTAGTGTATTTGAAATAGAGATGCATAACTGCCATCATACCGACACCCATAAGTTGAGCTTTATATAAAGCCTTCATTTGAGTTACATCGTAAGCATGGTGGGTTGTCGTGATTAATTTTGGTTCTTCCGCAGATCCCATGGGAGGCGTATCAATGTACTTGAGGGTGGTTAAGTCTATCTCGTTAGTCTGAATTCTTCATGCTGGGAACGAGCGAGTACCCTTTTTCTTTGTAATCTGGAAATGAACATAGGCATAGATGCTAATAATTACAAGGTTTGAAATTACATAGCCCACGCGTATCATATTTAAAACATTTGGATCTTCCATTGGGATCTTTTTTGACACTTGCATCATCCCCAGGATGATGACCAAGTTGGTGCTGTGTAAGTGTCAGTCGGCAACAAGTAGGAGTGGGATCATAGCAACAAACATTTGAGGACTGAGACCCATTGCAAGTTAGGAAAAATATGACGATTTAATCTTTTGGTGAAAATAAGCAGTCCTTTGCGTTTGTAAATTTGTTAATTGTGTAAAGGATGCCTATGGAATGGGGAAATAGGCCAAGTTATAGCGCCAAAGAAATTTGGCTCAAGCGCCAAGTCAACCTTCGGCTGCTTAATGCCAATTTGCGTCGAGACGACCCTCACAGAGGAGTAAGCCCTTTAATTGGTTCACCATCCTTGGTGTAATGGCTTTGTTCTGGGCCTACCTCGCCGTTAAATCCTTAATGGGTAGCTTGTCTCGAAGACTTGTTATACAGAGATCCAATGTATACTCTTTATTCATTCCAGCACTAAGCTATACTTTGTCATTGTACTGGGAGCAATGCGTTAATAAATTTGTCCCAAAGCCATACTTGGTTAGTGATAAGCCAATACCATGGAGTGACCTTTTCCCTGATACGTTACAGGACGAGGTTTTCCATATTCGTCAAGCGCAAGCATATTGTCATGGTAATTATACTGTCTGGGATCCAAAGATTACCACCCCACCCGCACTGTAAGCAAATTTGTTTTCCACGGATCAAGATCTTTAACTAAAATTAAAGCTACGTTATTGCCGCCGCGGGGGCAGTTCTTACTCGAGCATTTTCAAAGCAGTTCTGCTCCATACACCAACTACGTCTCTCCAACTGTCACGCATTACTTCTCACTTTTTATTACGCACACAGCTGCAGGCGACATATAGTGAAAAAATGGGCCAGAAATAGAGATCTACTCGATGTAGATGCTCTTCATACAGCTTTTAATATAACGCTTTTCCCACCTCTGTTCTTCTTTTCCGGACTCTTTTACACTGATGTGCTGTCAATCTGTTGTGTCCTTGTATCGTACAAACTATATCTTGAACGCAATGACGAGCGCACAAACCTAAGATTAAATCTTCTATGTTCATTCATAGTTGGTATTCTTTGCCTATTGATTCGGCAAACAAATATCTTTTGGGTAGCAATATTCTTGGGTGCCTTGCAACTCGTAGAAACTATAAAACTACATCAAATTAAAGAAGAAATATTGAAATCCTCAATCATCCGGTACCAATTTCTCTCGAAGTTTCTCAAAAAGTATTGTATACAGAAGTTACACGATCCTTCTTTAGAGGAGGCAGGTGTTTTTGGTATGAGTCCTACATTGACTTTCTATTGTTTAGCCATGTTTGCTAATATGTTTAAGACTTTCTTCAGTGTGCTTTATCTATAATCAATATTATTATATTTCAACCAGCTGTACTTACTTCTATAGTGACGAACTTTTGGTTACTAGTATCCTTTGGATTGTTTATATACTGGAACGATGGTGTTGTACTTGGTGTTGACATCCAACGCTCTTTCAAGTAAACCTGCTAACATTTGAAGGTGACAAATCGAACCATGTTGCCACCATTCATCTACCGCAGATACTATATTTATGGCCTCTTATCACCTTCTTTTCTGCTCCGCTACTTATTCCTGCCGGTATTTCTTTTTTTCGTAGACTAAACTATCAGATTTCACGGCATGTCTTTATTTCGATATCTCGGAGCAACCTTCAATCTACCTTACATATCACAGGAGGTTTAATATTATGCCTGGCTACTATCAAATATAACACAATCATTCACCCGTTTACACTCGCTGACAATCGGCATTACATGTTTTATATATTTCGCTATACCATTCTCCGTCACCCTGCTATTCGATTTCTCCTGGCACCAATTTACGCCGTATGTAGCGCTCTTGTGTACAAATCTCTCTGTCTTACAGCCCCAGATATTCAGAAAAGGAAATATAGTTCATCTTTGCTAGTACGCCCATCCGAGGTTCCGAAGCAAGATAAATCTACTGAGAGGATACCTATAACTCCAACGGTATCATTTGCCATCATTCTATTTAGTGCCACAACTCTATCTCTTGTAACAGCTCCGCTTGTCGAGCCGCGCTACTTCATTACTCCCTGGGTACTATGGCGCCTCAACATTCCTATGAATGTATCAAAGGAACTCGTTTCAAAAAGTAATACCTCGGGTTTAAGAACAAACAATCTTGTTTTTACAGCCTTAAATAAGTCAAAATCGAACATGCGTCACAACAAATGGCTTTGGCTAGAAACTACCTGGCTCATTCTTATCAACCTCATTACTGGATTTATTTTTCTTCACAAAGGGTTTGAATGGCCACAAGAACCTGGTAACGTGCAAAGATTTATGTGGTAAGGTAATCGAAGGAACGGAAGGCGATTTCAACGCAAAAGCCTCAAGTAAAAAAAATGTCAGCAAAGTACAAAGCTCGACTACTGATCGGATATCAATTCTTCATCGAATTTAAGAGAGATAAGCGGGACAAATGACTAAATTTTTGGTAAGAGAGTCTTATTACATAGATGAGATCTACGTGTAACAGTGGAAAGATGTGATCCAACTTGCTTAGTTTACACTAGTATTAAAAATGCTACCCCAAGATACAAAATGTAAATATTAATCTAGAGATGAAAGCTAACGTATTTTTCGCACACAAGCAATTGTGTAGGATTTAGGAGATGAAAATTAACTTGGTGTTAGTCTTTTCATTAAATTTTTTTCGCTAGGGTCGTCTCCGAATGTTCTAAAGTTGCCTCTATAAATATGCTATAAGTCTGTTTTTGTCCAGTTGGCAAACAATGGCCACATTTAAAACATGGGGGCCATTGAAAGGGTTAAATCATTTACGTTTTTTAACCTGTGAGGGGAACGAATTAGCTGCTGATGCTGCTGCTGCGGCAAAAAGGAGGTTTATAATTAAGCTCTCTTACGTTTACTACTGTATTAATGCCATCAGATTTCACGTTTTTGCCTAAGACAGAATCCTACATATCTTAAGCCCATTTGATGGTACTCTGCTATCTAGATATGGCACGTATCAGGGCTATACATACATGATGGATGTCTCTTTTGACAGTAGAGACTCTCAGACTTTGGATTTCGTTCGCAAATATTATGAGGTGTGATACTTTAATAGTATTACTTGAGTCTTAGACTACCTAGCTCATTAAGCTCCTCCCCGACCCAAGCCACACCTTCTACAATGCTCCTATACTGTTTTATTACTTGAAAGATCGTTGATATATCGCCTGTGATAAATAGCCATTCAACTCAGTGTTTATCCGTGGAATTCGGCCACCTTATCCACGGTACTTTCTGCCGAAAAAAGGTAAAAAATATGGATGGTAGCTATGGAAACTGCGTGCGCGGGAAAAAGTCTCAAAAAACCTGCAGCCCCAGCCAGGCAAGGCCTAGTCACCGGGACCAAATGAAGTGCGCATATTCATCTATATCTCCCTTCTTTGTAACATTCGAGGCCGACTTGATCCAATCCAATATCTCCATATCGGGTGCTGGGTTCGCTCCGGAAACTCTTCGGATGGCTTCTCCTCCATGATCAAGATTTGGTGATGAGAAGGGCTTCGACCCTACCATCTGATCTGATCGTGATTAGCTTCATGATGATGGTGATAGGGGAATATGTTAAGAGATGAAGACGATACAGACCGCGCAGGCGATTAGGAAGTCCCATGGAAGTGAGGACTTTGTTACTCAACCTCAGCTCTGCAGACCTTGCGGTGAGAGCTGCAGGTGCGTAGGGGACATCACTGATAGGTGCTCACAGTGTCTCTAGGATCCAAAATATTAACCTCGAAACTAGTATGTTTAAGGGATTGGCCCTATAGGCGTAGTTGGGCAAGCTCGCAATAGGTTAGACTGTCTCTCGTTATTACCCCGCTCGCCACGAAGTATGGTCCAATCGTCTTCTTCTAACAAACGGTCAGAAAATCATATTTTCACCGACATTTTTGGCTGCCTAACGCTCACAGTCCTTGAAACTTAACACCACTTTCGATTCATCCTCTATTCTAGCAAGCAATGTCTCTCGAAAAGTCTGCTTCAGAAACTTATGCTCGCAAGCTTCTAACTCGCGATCAATGTATTGAAATAAAAACTTGAAGACTTGGCTTGACATTACAACATACATCCGACGAACTTGGCTTCACAAGAAAGCAAGTGCAACTTGCGTGTGCTCGAGAGACTGAGGATCCTAAGCCTCTCAAAAAATGCCCACCTAAATTAAGCGCGGAACAAGTTGATGAGCTTAAAGCTTTCGTCAGGGAATCTCCTGTAAATCGACAGATGAGTTATTTGGAACTAGCGATGGGACCTTTCAGCCAATGGGGTTGCAGTGAGCATTAACTTTCAAATTCACTCAATAAAATAGGTTACAGCAGATGCATTGTCTGGAAGAAGCCTTCCCCAAGTGAGGTTATCATGCACTAAAGATGTATAGCGGTGAAAAGAGAAAATGGAGGGTACACAAAGTATTAGGATGGAGAAGACAAATTCGAAACATGAAGTACGCTTTCATTTTAGTTGCGAGCCATACTAAGGGCTTCGATGTATACTTTTGTAATACAGAGCAATTATTATTGAAATAGATGTGTATTTTTAGATGATATCAATTGATTTTCTTTTAATTTTGAATTTTAAATGAGGACCATTGTACATTTCCTTTGGTGTTAAAAACCGTCCCCATTTATTTTGATTTTCACGGAATATCATTGGATAGTACCCCTTGCTTGCATAACTAGTCGATAAACTAGACATAAGCCTGCATCAAGACTAAACCAATCTAATCGAAATGCACAGGGATCTAATCCCAGTCATTTTGACAATTGTAACTTAGCCATCCTTAAGAGACTGTAGTGGGAGCTAGGATATTATTATTAATTCATTTTATTGTCCTGTCTGAGTCCATGACTACCGTGTTGCTACGGTGTCAAGTTTGCAATGGGGCTTTGGCAGGGGTTTTAGCGTGTAACTTAAGACGCCTTAGGCATAGTCCCCTTCCATATTGGAGTTAGCCCCCGTATTTGTGCAAATTTTCAAAAATTTTGCGTGCTGTTTTTATCTGGACACCATAGCTTGCAGTGAGTCTTCCCTTCGTGCTAAACCTAATTTGTATAATGATCGACTGCATAACATTTGTGCATTTTTGCAACTTGACTTTATAACTTATTTACAAGAGTTCAAAGGTTTCCGAACTACAAAATAGAGCCACAGTCTTATCCTAACCTTGGATCTGAACATGTGGCTAGAATATTTTTAGGCCTTAATATCTGGTTGTACCCCCATCCGCATGTATCACAGCCTGACATCTTGCTGGCATACTCTAAATGAGTCTCCCAAGATCTTCGGAAGATACGGAATCCCATGCCTCCTTTACAATGTTGCGAAGACTATCTTGAGTTCGCTGCTTTCCGCAACCCAGATTCGGATGATGACGCTGGATATAATCGTTCATCTTATTCCAAACAGCTTCAGTTGGGTTAAGATCAGGCGAGTTGGCCGGCCAGAAAATCGGTTGAATGAGCGTCTGGCCCATATCTTCCATTGTAATTGCGGCTGTGTGGGCAGGAGCATTATCCTGCATTACGGAAAGCCAAGGTCTCATCGAGACCATGCCATCGATAAGAGGAACTATCTTCTCCCAATATTTTTGAGAGTTAATAGAACCCCATTCCTTCTCCCAAAACAAACAAGGGCCTTTTTCTGGCCCTGCGAAGCAGCCCTAGAACATCCATCCGACCCTATTCTTCGATTTTTCTCCAACACAATCAGCGTTGTATTCTTGGGAAGTCTAGCTCATAATGTTAGAGCATCAAATTACCATCTTCTTATTGAGGAATGTACGAACACTTCTTGTCACCCATTCTCTAGAATATCTTCCATCCTCTACCCAAGTTTCGTCTGTCCATAAAACTGAGGTCCAGTCTTCATGTGTCCAATTGAGATGAGCTTCGGCCCATTCTCTGCGTTTCTTCATAGTTTTCTGAGATACTGGAGGCTTTAGACGAGCCACATGTCGCTGATTTCCTCTTTTTTTGAAGTTCTGTTTGAATTACTTGCTCGCTAACACCAAGATGTCTAAAGGGGCCAGAGGCGAGTTCCTGAAATGTTTTGCGGCGATTTCCAGGTGAAGACTCAACGTAAAATATAATCTAATCAACATCATCTGCTTTCAGCCTTGAGGATGTTCTTTTTCTCTTTTTGGGGGAGACAGTTCCGCGGCGCAGTGAATAGTTAACTTGTCCCCGAGAAATGCCTACTTGCGCGGCGATCTGCGTCTGGTTTTTGCCAGATTCATGAAGCCCATAGATCTTAAATTTTCTTTTAATTTACATTTGTTCATATCTAATTTTTCTACTTACTAATATGTTTTGATCTCTGGATAATTGTTTGATTCGAGGTGTTGAAGGTGGGGCTTAAGGTGGATTCATCTGTAAAATAAGTTTATTATCGAGTAAAGCCATGTGTCTTCTGAATAAATAACTTTGTATTTGAGAAACCTAATTCTTATTGTAACTCAAGCACCAGGTTTGTTTGTTTTTTTTTTTGATTTTTACTTTTGGTCCTAAGCTAACGCTATCTTTTCCACTTTGGGTCAAGGACCGGTGGAGCCGGCAAGGATCACTGCGTACAGGCCCAACTCATTCCAACCTCATGAACTTCTACTGAAATTGTAGAAGTTAACAGCAAAACTAAAATCAAAAACTGAAATCAAATTTGGAAGAAATACTGTTTGGTCCGGATCCCGCGCTTCTCGCCCGTTCCCTATCCTGCCACATCTTCCACGTGACTTTTTCTTATCTCCGCTGAGAGCAAAAGATTAGTTCGCAGATAACCTGGATTCAGCGGGTATCCTGCTATATATTTTCAAGCTTTCTGTAGACTTCACCGAGGGTTACTGTACCCTCAAACTTCTTCTTCGGATCCCAGGATTCCGATCCCTCGGCTATCGAGACATCCATCGTTGAGGCCATCGTTGCCTCTTGGGCCTTTTTGGCTGCAGCCCTAAATCGAGCCAATTTCCCGAATTCCCCTTGCTGGATCTGGCGAATCTACGCGAGCTGCTCTTTGGTCACCGGTCCAGACTTTCTGGGTCTAACTTTGCAGTCCCGAGAATCCGATCGGTGGGGTCCCCCACAGTTGCGACACTTTGTGAGGGCCTTGCACTCGGCTTCCGAGTGCATATTTGATCCGCAGTTCCAGCAAGCTGGAGCGCGGGAGCAGCCACGGGTGGCGTGGAAGCCCAAACGGCGTTTACACTGTTCAATTTGTGGTCATGGCTTGTGAATGGTAGCCATACCAGCCTCTTTAAGAATGCGGAAGCCCGGGCGAGGGGCGTT